TGGCCTCTTGAACATGATTCCCCATTATGAGGGATTGATTGGCTTCTCATTGGCTGGTCTCCGTGAGAAAGGAGGCTGTATCCTATCAGTCATAGGGAGTGAAAGAACCATCTCTAAGTGCCACAGGTTTTCTTAAAATCTCCGATAGACAGCTGTTTGTTTTATCTATTGGTTTTGAGTTGAAGGGCATCAACAGGACCAGCAGGTCACTAGATCACTAGAGCTGCTTCTGTCAGTACTTGAATATTGTGTTCTGACTTATTTATTATTCTATGACCACTTACACTCCTAATCAGGCACAGCATGATTCTAGCGATAACCTGTTGTGACAAAGGCTGTGCAGACTCATTTTCCTATGTCATTGCTTTCCGAAATTTGACTTAAGACTTATTTTCAGTGGTTAAGTCCATACAATGGCACAGCACAATGCATTGAGCATGTTTGTGCACTTATGTAGAGTATGTATCTGGCCTTAATTTTTCATTCATAAGTTTTGGAAATCTTAACCACAATGTAAACAGCTAAACATTCGCAACTGTGACTGATCTCAAATATTGAGGTGAAGAGGACTCCCAAGTCTAAATGTTTAGACAAAGCAAAAAACACTCGTGGGCTTCGGCTCTTCCCCCGTGATCAGTCGAAATCCTCTGTTACCCCCAGCTGCTGCCAGATGTTGGCCATTATGCTTGAGGAACGTGAGCTGGCTCAGGCTGCATGGTGCTCTGCCTCAGATCTCAGACACAGCCCCTCGGCTTTTAATTAACTCAACACCACGCAGAGGAGAGAGAGCCTCCAGCGCGCAGCCGCTGCCTGTCTTTCCACCGTTGCAGAATGTGTGTGTGTGAGCATAGAAGCGCACGAAAGGTTTCCTCAGCTACATAGATACTATGCATTAGTAAAGAATAGTGGTTACCACGGATCACAAAACTCACTGTTCGGATCATTTTATAGGTCTTGATAATTTTTCGGATCAGCAAGTAAAAAAATTATATCAGTGTAACTTTCTAGTGTAACTGCTTTCCATTTATTACTTAAAGCACACTTTAAGTACTTCAGTGCACGATGCATGAAGACTAGTAGCCTAACTAAGAAAGTTCAAACAAGATTAAAGGCAAGTGAACAGTCAGTGTAAAAAAAAAAACAACGTACACAAATTACAAGTATAGATAAACACAAATTTACAAATAAAATAAGGTCTCAGACACAGACAGCAGCAGGTATTTATAGGCTGCTGTCCCTTTAAGACCTGATGCACGAATCCAATATAATGATACACATCCAAATTCTTTCTGAGCTGCTATTGTTCACTTAATACATAACCGTCTGCGTTTATGAGAATGATTGCTGAGATGGGTATTTTGGCATAATTTTATGTGTGTAAACACATAAACATGTCTGTCTGAAATGCGCCTCTGTGTGTGCACAGAAAAAGAAAAATGTGTAATGTGTAAATTGGCAAGACGAAACGCATACAAATAGTAAACTATAACTATGATGTTATATTTTGCAATTAATCCGCGAATCACATGCATGCCGAACCGTGGGTCCTGGTCTGTACAAATCAACTGTGATCCATTCAACCCCTAGTAAAGAAATTCAATTCATCGTACCTGGTAACATTTTATCCTGGTGTATTTATGATGCATGTGAGAATAGGTGAATATTGTGCATTTTTTGTGATCACTGTTCTCACAATGAAAAAAAAAAAAAATAGTGAAACAATTTACACTCAGAAATTGCTAGTAAAATAATTACAAAGAAAGGGCAAGTAGCACATTCAATTAAACATGATATTTTGAAGTAGAAAACCTGAAATAGTATTTTCTTATAAAACTCTGCTATAAACATTGTTTTTCTGCACGCGCTGAATTAAAGTGACAGCGCATTATTCGTGGTATTTAAAACAAGGAAAAGTGCACTTTTAGATAAACAAGGCAATAATAGATGGCACTTGTGGTGGTAGTTAAACAAAGTTATATTTATTGAGTTTAAACGTGAATATGTCTATGAAAGATTGTATTACTGTACTGTAGGGCTGGGCGATAATTCGATAACGATAATTATCGCGATATACTTTTCCCCGATAACACGATATGAAGAGTTCGACAAATGTTCGATATAATGTTTATGCGCAAAAAGCGGAACGAAACAGCGCAACTCATTTGAAGCGCGCCACACGGACCGTTTATCTGCTCGGATCAAAGTTCAAACTGTAGTGCGGCGCGAGCTCACTAGAGCAGATGCGTTTACTCGGTCACGCCAGCACTAAACAGCGCTGTGAGATCCACTGCTTGAATTCAGCGATGAGCACAAATTACTTAGTGATTTAAACTAGTTTAAAGCCAAACAGGAGAAACACTGTGTTTAGTTTGCGAACCGCAGTTAGAAAAAGAAGATGAAACACAAACAGGGTGTAAACATGGTTTTCAGAGGCGTGCTCTGCTGCCCTAAATTTGACACGCCCCAAATCAGTGGCGTTGTAGCGTTGCCACTGAGTGCAGGTTATACGCTGTAGTGGAAACACACCGTAAACAGCGCTGTGAGATCCAGTGTGAAGCGCTTGAATTCAGCGATGAACACAAATGTCTTGGTGATTTAAATTAGTTTAAAGCCAAACAGTAGAAACACTGTGTGCAACGAGACAGTCAGAAGGCTTTTCAATCTTCACATTGCCATCATTCACCATGGATTTACTGTGGTAACACTCACTGCACCATGCATGGTATTGTGGCAGAAATGTGGGATATTCACGTTGAATTTTATTACAGGAGTAAAGGTATATAATTGTAGTATGTATTTGTGATTAAGCTATATCATGTGTGCATTTATGCTGAATGTTGTTAGACTACTGTTTTTCATACAAATAGGCTACTTAAAACCCATATAGTTATATTTTTACCATGGTATTGAGGTGCTATGTTTGTGGTTTTAACTGTGTTTATCATGATTTAAATGTATGCTACTATGGGAGACCAATGCTTAATTAAAAAAAAAAAAACCTTGGTTAGAATAAGTTTAACATTATAAAACTGAGGTTGTTACCATTTTTACAGATGTTAATGGTTTTGATAATGAACAAATATTTACCTGTGCATCCTAACTCAAGCTACTATCAAATGTGCATTTCTAAGAGACAAAAAAGTGATATCATTATTAGTATTATCAGGCAACCCAAATCTGTTTCTTGATTTGAAACAATATCACTCATTAGAACATGCAGAAACTAAGAAATACATTTTTCTATTTAGATATTTATTTTGTTAAGGAAAATTAATGGTCTGGTTTCTACAACTTTCACTTTGGAGCAAAAATCTGGCTTTAAACTTGAAAGAAATAAAGATTTGACATTTATTGTGATAATTATCGATATCGACTGATATGAAAAAAATTATCGTGATAATTTGTACTGTGATAAGAGAATCACATTTGCTGAAAAAGCATTTTCAGAAACAACGTTTGGATTTGAAATCAAAATAATGGATAAATGTTGTGTTTGTGGTAAACAGCCGCGGATCAGGAGCGAACTACAACGCTCCTGCCAGATTGATCCTGTGCGAAAGCAAAATGAGTCCGTGCTGCTGAGTCCGTGCTGCTTCTGCACCGCATACACATACTGTATACTGGACATGGGATTTTTTTATTTTTTTTCTGCCATGTCTATTCTAGAGACATTTTGTTACACCTTTACTTAGTGATTATTTTGCCTTATGTCTGTTCTAGAGACATGTTACAGCGTTTTCATAAAGCTCTAATTGGTTTTCTTTTGGAAATATGTTTCAAATTCACACTGAATGCATTAATGACTGTAAAGCATGTCTGTGTGTGTCAAAATCGTCATTAAAATCGAAATCGCAAAATTGATCAAAGAAATCGCGATATATGTAAAAAATAATAATGTTTTTAATCTTTTTGAGTAAACATTTCCCTTTCTGTGCAAGTTTTGATGCAGGGGCCGGTTTATTTCAGAGGACTACCAGATTGAAAACCGCTTTCTATCCGGTTTGTGGCAAATGAGGCCAAACCTTCTAGCTAATCTGATTAGGCCCTATGACAATGACATGCTGCAAATGTCCCACCCTATGATCCTCACAGTCATTTATTAAAGGAGGAGAGTAATGAGATTACACATTCAGCAGACCCACACAGCTGGCGATGGGCCGTCATCATATTCGGGAGACCAGTGAAAGGGTTTTAGTCACTGAAATGCCTGCGGAGGGCTTTATCTGGCTAGGTATGTCTTAATGTCTTCACCACAATCCACAGAATCTGTGTTTGATGATGGTTTTGTGTAAACACTGGCTGAGGTGGATTACGTGCGGACGTGTGATGGGAAGCAGATGTGTTTTGGTAGTGTACATTATTGTCCAGTGAGTGGTGCTTGATATAACAGTTATGCATACTTGAAATTAGATTTTTTTGAATGATTCTTTAACCAAATAAGTTGGTCTGACATCGTTTTTGCTACATGAATGGTACCTTAAGTGAACCGGATGGTAGTTTTTCAAAAACAAAAATACATGTTGTTTGAGCTGTAGATGTCTAAACTTTTCCAGTTGTTTAGTGATTATTCATCTCTTCTAGATGAATGAGTTTCTGGTTCAATGTTGGTAACCTAATTTAAGTTAGCTCCAAATAAAACTGTCTTTTTCAGTCTGTTTAATGGTTTTAAAAAATAAAATACTTTTGTTCACTCTAGTCTTCTGTTGTCATGCATAATTTGAAGTGAAGTAGCTATACTTTCAGAAAAGTGTGTATTTTAACTTGTATATCCTGGTTGAGTGCATTTCAGCATAGATTTCTGCTGAAGCTGTATTTTACTGTAAATGCAATGGTTTGTTAAACCCAAAACATTCATTGAAAAGGATACATTACATTACTTCAGGCTTTAGATATTGAACTTGTACTTGTCTATAACCTCCAGGCTCAGCAGTTAAGTGAAGAGTTTGCAGCAGAGTTAATGCCACTCTGATACTCACTATCAACTCTGTTCGGCCCCACAGGAAACCCAGGATAAACTCCCAGCTGGTGGCACAGCAGGTGGCCCAGCAGTACGCCATTCCTCCTCCCCCAAAGAAAGAGAAGAAGGAAAAGCCTGAGAGGCCTGAGAAAGATCGAGCCGAGGGGGAGCGTCCCGACAGAAATACCCATGACACCGAACACACGGACAAGGACAAGAGCGAGAAGGAGCAGCCTGACAAAGAGAAGAAGGACAGAGAGAAGGAAATCACCCCAGCCATCATAAAGAAACCCAACAGCAAAAAGAGCAAGTACGTTAGTCACCAATAAGAATGTGAGAAACTTCTGACTTTCTGCTTTATGGAACGAGTAACCAAAAAAGTGTCTCTTCACAGACCCAAGTCAGACAACCATCAAAGCCCACGCAGTGAACGAAACAGCATTCAATCTGGCAAATCCACAACCAAGACCAAGAACCCCTACATCTCCAGGTATCTCACCTTCATCTTTGCATTTCATCTTTTTTTTTTTTTTTTTAAGTGATGACAGGATCATATAGCAACGAAGCATGAGTATAGAGGAGCAACAGCAGCTCACTGCATTCTGTAATGACAAATCCACTGTTTCCTTCTCACTTTTGAGAGAAACCCTGATCAAAATTTGTGATCAGTTACCTCTCCACTGTAAAGTTCTTTTAATGTGTGCTGCTGAACACAAATATGTATAAAATGAAATCATGTTTGTGAAATTCCCATCAAGTTGAATTGAGGCTGTTCTTGGCTAATGCTGTAAAAAGGCTGGTATGGTAAATTAATATTTTCTTTTGTTTTCTCTTTCCTTTTTTACTCCTTCATTCACTTTTTCTTTTGCTCACTTGCTCTTTCACTCTCCCTTCCTTCCTTTCTACTTAATACCGACTTGCCTACCAGTCCACCTAAATTCCATTACTTTTTACACATTCCTGCTGTCTGCTAATAGTATATCAACATAGTTTGACATACACTACTGTTCAAAGGTTTGTCGTCAGTATATTGTTTTTTTTTTATATTGAAAGCAGCGTAACTATTTTCATTATTGATAATAATAATAAATGTTTCTTGAGCACCAAATCAACATATTAGAATGATTTCTGAAGTATCATGTGATGAAATTTACCAATCCCAAACTTTTGAATGGTGGTGTGTTAATATTGTCCTGTTAACGAGTAATCCTTGTAGAGTTTTGGACTTTTCATTGTTCATTTCGGCTCCTCTGCTCCACAGGGCTCCAGACTGCAATTGAATGATCGCATTTTACACAAGTTTGCCAGTATGAATTTTGTTAGAGAAAATCAGTTAGAGTGTTGGTTTAATTTGTCATTTTGAGGGTTTTGATCAGATGCTGGTACCCAAAGCGCTGCTCCTCAGCACTGTTCTCATACTCTGGAAAGTTGAAGACACTTCTTTTAGCACTAGTCACTTTCATACAGTCCCATAAAGATGCTTAATGCTGTCATTTAAAAGCCAAAATAATGGTAGTGTAATAATAATAACTGCAGCTGAAGGTCTGGCTTGTGAATGTGTTGTAAGTCACTCTGACAGTGAACAAAGCTGGCAGACAGCAGTGACGAACGTCACTGTAGAAAGTGCTCTGATTCACAAATGCCTCTCTCTCTCTCTCTCTGTCTGTGTCTGTCTCTTTCTCTCTGAATGTCGTGGGCTGATCTCAATTGAGCAGCACAGTTTTACTCCCACACACGCCCTGTTGGCTGCCGTCCCACCATTCTGTTTCTGTCTGCTTCTGCCAGCAGAGCTCATTGTGTCACATTGTCTTGGAGGCATACTAACAACTGAGGCTAATGCCAATCAATGAGATTTAGCTTTGTGCTTTTGCCATGCACACAACCCTGGAAACATGTCTCAGTTTTTTTAAAGATTTAGTAGTGGTCTTTTTGTGTAAATGTCAGTTTTGGTGATGTTTAACTTTTGAAATGTATGCTGTTGAGTGTTAATCTGGCTGATCTCTGGTAGTCTTTCCATGCTTGCTTGGTTTCTGATGTTTGGGAAATGTGAACCTGACCTTATTTTCTCAAAATCATCTTTTCATCTCAAATTTCTGAATACCAAGCAGTGTTTAGGGAATGTTACTCCTAAGTGTTAACACTAATAAATAGTGGAATTTAAAACTGGTTAGTGTCTTCTGCTAGTAATCAAATAATTTAAAAACTATCTGAACTGATAAATAACAGATTGGAGATTAAAATAATATTTTTTTTACTCCCTAATATCGGTATCGGTATCGGCCCCAAAAAAACCATATCGGTCGGGCTCTACTAATAAAGTTACTTGATTTTGTTGTTACTTTCTGTAGGTTAGTTACTTTTGTCTTTTGCGTTAAAGGGTGTGTGGGTGGACTGTTTTTACTGTGGTCAAGTGTTTGTCCCCTAAACATGGTTTGCATGCAACGACCATATCCCTGTCCTTTTCTGCATTTAAATCAAAATCATCTAAATACTGTGAAAGGTGAAACACAGGACTTGCCCCCCATTGTCTAACCATTGAAACCTCATTGTTTGTAATGCGTGGGCCCAGAGAGAATCTGTAGTGGGGGGGTTTTTCCCCACCATTTTTTTCACTGGTTAGTTAACTTTTATTTTTTATTTAAAATATACAATACCATTCACAAAGTCTGCATTTATTTGGTCACAAATACATGTGTAATTTTTGCTAATAAAATATTTAAATATTTATGCTGCTAAAAATGTATTTAAAATATTTTAAAATGTAATTTATTCCTGTGATTGCAGTACTGACATTTCAGTATGTTACTTAAGTCTTTTATTCATTAGAAATCATTCTAATATGCTGATTTGGTGCTCAAGAAATATACATTTTCTTATTGTGATTATCATTGTAAATAGGCCTGTCGCAATAATCAATATATCGACTTATCGTGCAATATATGTACATGACCTCAATCATTTTTGGTGACGCAATATATTGCCCATTATATTTACTTAAAAATTAATGTCACCATGTTTTGTACATTCCACTTGCACCTGTGTCTTTTGCAGCTTCTCGTACATAACGTGGTGTAGTCATGAGGTGCTAGTTCAAATTTAAAAAATGCTTCTACAAAAAAAAGTTTCATCTGATATGGCCTTGTTTTACGGTCATCTGACTGCTAAGTAGTGATTGTGTTTTTCACAAAAGAAGGTCAGGGAAAAATTCTTTGTGCATTTTTCTTTTTTTCTACTTGTTACTTTGCACTTTTTGTTAGAAAATTTTTATTTACTATTTATTCAAGTTTTTTAAGGTATCTAGTATTTTGATACTTAATTTCCATGATCTAAATATTCTTAAGAATTAAAAGTCTGTTGTCATTTGGAAGTGTGTAGGCCTTCTTGCATTATTATGCTGTTACATTATGATTATATATTCAGTGGCATAAAATGGTCTTTAAAATGACAATAATATCGCTTATCGCAATTATTTCTGGGGTAATATATCGCACAATAAAAAGTTGTTATCGTGACAGTCCTAATTGTAAACCGTTGTGCTGCTTAATACTTTTATGGAAACCGTGATAAATGGAATTTTGCATGCATGGATACTTTCATGAATAGAACAGTCAAAACAATAGCATTTATTTGAAATAAAAATCTTCATTATAATCTTCAGTATCATTATAAATGCCTTTACTGTCACTTGATTACTTTAATGCATCCTTGCTGAATAAAGGTGGTAATTTCTTTCAAAAAATAAAAATCTCACTGAAGCCAAACTTTGAATGGCTGTGTATAGCCCACATAATTTTTAATATATAAATAAAAAAAAATTTCATAATTCTCCTGTCATACCTGCTTTAATAAATTTGATAATAAAATTGCAAAGAATTAATATGAAACATGAATTGTATCTTCATTTGAAAAATTAAAGTCATGAATATATAGAAATATGTTACTTCACTATCTTTACATCCAAAAAGTGATCTAAATTGCGTTCTTTGTCGCACTACCCTCCTGAATATTTCTCTCTGCCTCCAATCTGCAGGCCCAAGCTGAAGAACATTGACAGGAGCACAGCCCAGCAGCTGGCCATCACAGTGGGGAACGTCACAGTGATCATAACAGACTTTAAGGAGAAGACCCGCACCTCCTCCACCTCGTCCTCCACAGTGACCTCGAGCACCGGCTCTGAAAAGCAGCACCAGAGCTCCGGCTCCGAGAGCATGGACAAGGGCTCATCCCGTGCGTCGACACCAAAGGGAGACCTCTCGGTCGGGCACGATGAGTCATTCTGAGCACCACAGACGCTGTCGAGACAGCAGGGATGTACTTTGCCTCCATTTCCCCTCACCTTGCCCTGAGCCAACTCATATTCATTTCTGTCACTGAAAGAGGAACATACGCCACAAGAGGAACACTTACCCACACACACTCAACATACCTACACATACATTTGTGTGAATGGTGCAACCATGGTGGACCGTGGATTTGGGCCGTTGGGCAAACTGTCCCTCCTTTCCCTTCCTGGAGACATCCCACTCTTGTATGTATTGTTTTATATTTGTATGTGGATGTGCAGCTGAATCAACATTTTTGTTTTGTTAAAAAAAAAAAATCTATATGTAAATGTCCGCTGTGCACAGTAACCACCAACATGTTAACTATTCTGGACCATTACTGCTCTTATTTATTATGTTGCATCTTTCTACTTTTAGAGATTGTTTTGTTTTTTGGTGAAAGGTTTTTTTAGCTAAAGTAGCTCAAGCCGATGGCTCCCCTTTAGTGTTGAAACGATTCTTCCGGAAATTCCTGAGAAACTTCTCACAATGGTGCTAGCTACACTGTGAAATGGTTTCAGTCCTCAGACTGACGTTCACACCATAGAAACAGATCCTTCTGCTCCTGAAAACAATGGAAATATTTGTGTCCTGGTGTCAGGCTGCATTCTTCTGTTGCTTTGTTTTGGGATTTTTTTCCATTTTGCGAGACTGATCTGAACATTTGTGCACTGGGGGGGTCCCCGAGATCTGGTTTCGTCAACATACTAAACGGATGATGTTTTACACCTGTTGCGTTGTGGAGAAGACAGCTGGGATTCACAAACTGCAAGAAGACATTGCGAGCATGATGTGTGAGCTTTGGATTTGATCATTCGCAGATGAACTGAGCTTTCTTAACGCTCACTTGGCTTAACATCTGGTTTTGCAATTGTATTCAGAACATTTTGTTTGACAGCATTTGTTGTCCTTCATGGTCTACATATGATGTATTGTAAAAACACTAAAAGGGTTTGACGTCTCAAAGGTCCGTAGGCCTTTAAAGTTGAAGAACTACTTTTGCGTTTTCTAGCTATTTTTGATCGAAAGAAACGGATTGTAATCTTAGGGCTTTACTCGGCCTTGTTTTAATCTGAAGACAGACTTGTGACATTTTCCCATTATTTTCAGAAACCTAGATGATGGTGAGCAGTGCAGTATTTACTAAAACAGTCCCAGCGCTAGAAATAAGAGACATTGTGCTGAACATGAACTGTCTCTGAATGCATGGGAACTGTCACAAGCATTCAGCACTAACATTTTTCAATTTGTTTACTTAAGAGTCACGAAAAATTGACGTGAGCATGATTTCACACAATATTCCCGCTCCCCATTAACTCGAGATGTCTAGCTGGCGCTCCCACAATTCTCAAAGACAGCATATCTTCCCTTTGAACTGTATTAAACCTGTACAAAGTATGTGTATATGATATGAGTTTTATTTATTGAAGGACCAAAGGAATTTGATATTGATGACATGCTAGGCAAATTAATAATTCAAAATGTAATTACAATATGTGTGATATAACATTTTAATAAAGTCTAATATAATCCATTTCAAATGTGTAATTCTTGTCCTCTTGATATATGCAGAATATTTGTGTACTTGTAAATTCATAGACATTCAATCTGTAAAGACAACACTGACTTTTGTCACTGTACTGCGTGTTAATTCTGGAATGGCATAGAATTATTACAGTAAACTCCCATCAAGCTGTTTTTTTCCCTCTGCAAATACTTTGTATGTTTTGAAATGAAGAGATAAATGGACATTTTGATCCACTGGCAACTTTGATGCTTTGAATAGGTTACTGCTTTTGTTACCAACTCCTTCCATTAGGAGGAGTAGACCGATTAAAGCATCGTGTATAAATGAAGACTTCACTGGGTTGTTTTGCAAGGGTAACCGTGTGTCTTGATTATATATATTTGTGATGTTAACCAACCAAATCGGTATTGATTGTTGGATACAAAGCATTTCAGTTGTATTGATATTGATTTTGTTTTCTGACCCAGTGCAATTCAAGATAGACAATTCTATTCTTCAAATCTTCTCTTTTTTTTTTGCAAGTATGCAAAGTAATAACCGGAATAGGGGTTGTTTGCAAATCACTTATCAGTGGGTTGTTAATTATTCTGCATTATTCAGATTATTGAGATTTTACTACATTTAAACCCCAAAAGTAATCGAATTTGCAATGTATAGCTTAACACAAAATTTCGTAAAATGTATGAATATAGCCATTTTTTCACTTGCCTTATCCGCTGTCAAAAAAAGTTACCTGAATTTTGTAAAACTGTAAAGAAAAAGCAAACAATGAATTGTATCTATAATTTATTTAAATTTGAGGAGAAAAACAATTGCTGAATTTAAACTGTGCTTATGTATAACTCAAAATGATGCAGCCAACGTAATAGGCTATGAATGGCAATGGAGTCTTTCCTTCTTTTTACGCGCAAGCAGTTCTGTACTTGTGTACGACCAGTAACCTTAATTTACTGTGTAAAGATGGTTACATTTTTTTTTTAGCTTTGTTTGTCAGAAACCCAAATATAGAATGCTTGTTTACATATGCTATAGCGTTAACCTTGTGAAATTACAGTGTACCTGTATAGTCCTGGCTCCCTTAATTTTGCCAGTGTCTTGTAAAAAAATGCTTTTACAGTTTCCTTTTGCATAATAAGTTTTAATTTTGTTAGAAGGAATCTTTTTTTTTTTCCTGATTCGATTTCTTGCTAATTGCTGTTGTTGGTAAATTTTGTGTGGAGCTCATTCATTTCACTTGTAAATGTACATTTTACTTGCCTTTCTTCATTTTTTAATTGATCACTGCTCCTTGTCTATAACTAATACAATGCTAACATTCAACCGACTTCTGGCATGTGCACGACTTTGCTTTTAGATGCTTCATCATTTCCCTTGCTTCCAGTAGAAATGTCTATTGATGCATTTTGCTTGTGTTTTTTTCCACAAATAAAATGTTCAATTTATCAATGTGCGTATTTTGGCCTTTTTCATACAATTCAACTTCGGCACACCCAGAGCTGTACAAATTATCTGATGAATACAGTGACCCTAAAATGCATTTAGACACTTGAAATGAATTTTAACCAACTGATCTCAAGGTCTTTAGACCAGAAACTGTCCATTTTCTTTATCTTAAACCATATATCTACCTATTTGAGATGTTGGTCTTTATTAACAAACTTAAGTTTTGTGAAATGTTTTCACTGCATACTTCTCTTTAAAATAAATGATGTTTGGTTTGATATTTTATCTAATGCATTGAGATACATGTTAAGTGCAGCTTAAGTGTGCAGATACTTTTGGGGGCACTGTAGATCTCTATACTACTGCATTGTCCTCCTCTGATGACCTCTTGTTGGAAATAATTTGGCATGCAGTATAAAAAGCTTTTCCTCAGCATGTTGAGTGATGTGTGCTGCTCTCATAGTGAGTCCTGGTGCCCTGAGGCCTGCTGGGAGCTGTCTCATCTGGGATGGAGATGTCAGAGTACAGCTGTCACCCCTCATGTAAAGCACTGACACTAGACTCAGAGGAGACCCAAGTGTTTTAGCCCAACTGAGATAATCAACTCTGTTCTCTTCCTCTAGCTAAATGACTTATGTCAGTGTTCCCTGATGCATTGAACTATATGGAGGCTTCCATTGGTGTCGCATTGAGTGCTGGTCAACACTTCAGTCATTTCAACATTGGCCCTATTTGCTGATTTGTAAAAGAGCCAGTGATTACCAGACAATTTGCATGATGTATTTTGATGACTGGCATGGGTCGCGGAACCGGGGTGGGGGGTCTGGTATATGACATAGGCTACAAAAATACATAGGCGATAGGGTCATATGCATGCACTAATCTTTAAAAGATCACGATCTTGATAGAAATCACGGTCTGGGGGCACACAGACCAGACCAAAAGGGCACTTTAGCGTCGGCGATGTGAAGTGAAGTGAAGTTTGTCTGGACACTGAGCTAAAATGTGCTTGGAGAAAGTCGCAAAATAATGTTACGAACATGTATTGTCCATTATACTACGGGGGTCGTTGAATGCTTGAATCTGATTGGCTGACGAACGTAAGGTGTGAAACACGCGGCAAACGTAGTTCCAGGCATGTCTTGACCGCATTATATGTCCATAGCACGCCTAAAACAGCAAAAGAACCAAAACTCACAATGACACCGGCCAACCAAATAAATATAGTAAACAATAGGATAAAAACGACAGATCATTTCCACGTTTTTGCCACAAAATGACAGTTTATTATAAACGGAAAGCACATACTCTATCTCTCTCCCTCATAGACGCACACAAGCAGTGTTGCCAACTTAGCAATTTTGTTGCTAAATTTAGCAACTTTTCAGACTACCCTAGCAACTTTTTCTTCCAAAAGCACCCAGCAACAAATTTAGCAATTTTTTAAATGTATTTGGCAACTTTTAGCAACTTTTGATAAAGTGACTCAGACAATAAAAAGGCACACATTTTCCATCCAAATGACATGAAAAAAGGAAACCAAAGATGCTCAATTGTTCAATTTAATAATAATAACTGAATAATTGTTCATTTATGATACACTTTGTTAGTAGCTTGTACTTGCGACTGTTGATCAGTTAGTACGCTGTAAGAAAAATTGAAAAGATACTTGTAATTTTCCAGGACATTATCCATTATCCATTGTAACCCTGTAACCCAAAAACACAATGCGTAATTTAAATACAATGCGTAATTTAAAATGCAGGTTTGGATGTTGTGACAATTTTGCGTCGTGATTACGCAATGACTTCATCGCGCAATTACATCACAGCGTCATTTAGCAACTTTTAGCAACAAATCGACCTTCCTTTAGCAACTTTCTCTGAAAATTAGTTGGCAACACTGCACACAAGTTACCGTTTGCACACACGCTAACATGCACGCTAATGTTGTTAGCGCTACTCTGGCAATTTTATCAGTGCCATAGTTTAACAACTTAAAAACTACTTCTCACAAGCGAGGTAACAACAACGGCGCTGTTCTTGAAGAAAATGAACTTAAAAGTTTCACTATTACTAGAGATATTGCATTGCTCCGCTTGGCGTCGTGGCCGCATCACCACCTCGGGTGTGCATTATTATCTAAGAATTCAACGGCCCGTCGTCAATTATTCCTTACTTTATGCACAGCTAAAAGCAACAGGAGTTCGGTCTCCCTCTTTTCATAATCATCGTCATCATCCAGCGCAGAGCATGACTCCCGTGACTTTCTTAGAGTGTAGCATACTAACTAACTACTAATACACTGCTTAAAGCATAATTGTTGAGAATGTGTAGTATTACTAGTTTACTAGCTATTAAAACACTTAAATTGTAATTATTCAAAAATGTGTAGGTGTTCAATAATTTAATGTATTTAAAAATACATTTATTTATATTTTAATATTATATTATGCATATTATTTTACAAACAAATCTAAATTAACATATATAAAATATATATTTTTGCTGAGATTGGATGTTGTGACAATTTTGCGTCGTGATTACGCAATGACTTCATCGCGCAATTACATCACAGTGTCATTTAGCAACTTTTAGCAACAAATCGACCTTCCTTTAGCAACTTTCTCTGAAAATTAGTTGGCAACACTGCACACAAGTTACCGTTTGCACACACGCTAACATGCACGCTAATGTTGTTAGCGCTACTCTGGCAATTTTATCAGTGCCATAGTTTAACAACTTAAAAACTACTTCTCACAAGCGAGGTAACAACAACGGCGCTGTTCTTGAAGAAAATGAACTTAAAAGTTTCACTATTACTAGAGATATTGCATTGCTCCGCTTGGCGTCGTGGCCGCATCACCACCTCGGGTGTGCATTATTATCTAAGAATTCAACGGCCCGTCGTCAATTATTCCTTACTTTATGCACAGCTAAAAGCAACAGGAGTTCGGTCTCCCTCTTTTCATAATCATCGTCATCATCCAGCGCAGAGCATGACTCCCGTGACGTGGGACAAATTAACGTTACATACAGTAGGTTAAAAATACATTGCTTTTTGTGTGTTTTTACTGTTTACCTTGTCAACCCACTTTCTGTTTACCTAGCAATCACATAATATTGTTTTATGTGTTTTACAAACAAATCTAAATTAACATATATAAAATATATATTTTTGCTGAGATTGGATGTTGTGACAATTTTGCGTCGTGATTACGCAATGACTTCATCGCGCAATTACATCACAGTGTCATTTAGCAACTTTTAGCAACAAATCGACCTTCCTTTAGCAACTTTCTCTGAAAATTAGTTGGCAACACTGCACACAAGTTACCGTTTGCACACACGCTAACATGCACGCTAATGTTGTTAGCGCTACTCTGGCAATTTTATCAGTGCCATAGTTTAACAACTTAAAAACTACTTCTCACAAGCGAGGTAACAACAACGGCGCTGTTCTTGAAGAAAATGAACTTAAAAGTTTCACTATTACTAGAGATATTGCATTGCTCCGCTTGGCGTCGTGGCCGCATCACCACCTCGGGTGTGCATTATTATCTAAGAATTCAACGGCCCGTCGTCAATTATTCCTTACTTTATGCACAGCTAAAAGCAACAGGAGTTCGGTCTCCCTCTTTTCATAATCATCGTCATCATCCAGCGCAGAGCATGACTCCCGTGACGTGGGACAAATTAACGTTACATACAGTAGGTTAAAAATACATTGCTTTTTGTGTGTTTTTACTGTTTACCTTGTCAACCCACTTTCTGTTTACCTAGCAATCACATAATATTGTTTTATGTGATGCTATTTGCAGACGCTTTAATATGGATGTCAAAATGGCGCGTGACACTGGTGTTGAGGGCTGCGTTGAAGCCCTGACACGTGAAAGGGGTTCAGTGCTGGTCTTTGGCTCTTCCCATGCGATAATAAGCCTGAATAAGCTTGTAAAAGTGGTCAAGTCTGACTTTGCGTGTGATTATTCATGGTCTGAAAACCACTTGTCTCCATCATCACCCAAAATCTGCCATAATCCTTCAGTTGCATTCACTAAGCCTGTCTGTTGCAGCACTAGTCCAGTCTCTAGTGTCCTGTAGATTCTTTCATTAAACGGCAGAACCAATTGTAGTTTTAACTCCTCTCCCTGGGCTATCCTGTGACAGGCTCTGGATCGGCCCGCTGTGTCTGTCCCGATTGATGCGTTTCCAGACAAGCCCAAGGCTTCTCCAGAGAGCCAGGCGGAGAGGGGGGCCTCATCTCTACCATTACCCACCTTGTTCCCACTCCAGATGGGTCTCTTCCGCAGCATTCCCTCCCTCCAGACCACAGAGTGACGAATTCCATATGTTTGGGAAGGGGAGAACATCTGCAGATAAGGGAAGAGCGTTTTATATGAAGGAAACCAACAAGCCCACTGTTCCAAAAGGTTAGAGTATGTGTTTAACAGAGACTCAGTGGAGAGAAATGGAAAATGTGCTTAATAGGAAAATATATTTTTTTTTTTTAACCTGTGGATTTGTAAAAGATACTGAGTTAATAAAAAGGGTGTTTAGGCATGTGCGATGCAAGTTGGTCTAAATATGAACAATATTTCATTTCATATTGTATTAACATAATATAATATTGTATTATTGTCATTTTTATAATTTCATTAAAATATTTTAAATGATTTTATTTAAATTATTTATGAATTATTTTTAATGAATTATTTTAATTAATATAAATGGATACATTGAATATATTAATATAAATTGTATTATATTATTATATTACACCCATTTACTTGTTTGTTTTTAGTAAAACAAATATGTATAATGTATAATTTTTTTATTTTAAAAGAGCTTGATATTTTATCTTTAGTTTGTATGTTGTGAGCAGGCTATTTGATTTCTGGGAGAAAAAATGCTAATAGAATATCATAATTTTGTCTCATGATGGTTTTAGCAATGTCCTTCCTACTAATTAGGTTAATCTGGGACCTTTTTTTGC